GGTGCTTATTTGGATTAAATCCGATGAGTGTTAAGAAAGTTATGATCGTTTAAAGTTAAACACTCAAAACCTGCAGAACTTTCCGGACAACCTAATAGTTCATGATTGGGCACCTAATACCCATACATTTGGACGCGGCAATTGTGTTCGATCCGACACCGTTAGTTCTAGACTGAACTAATTTATGCTTTCTTTAGTGCATAGAAAGTTTCTAGCACGTTCTTGTTGTCATTGTTGAAACAAAATTCTTGAGTAAAAGAGGCAAAAATAGAAGATACCACGATGGTGATCAAAAACGCATGAGAAAGATTTCTCGGCAGTCACTCCTAAGAGAAGTAAAATATTTCAGCTGAACGATCTCCCCTGCAGAACAGACTGCTCTTCCATGTATCACATAAACTTGGGGAAGAAAAACGGCTAATGCAGCATCACCAACTTCTTGGTGTGAGTTACTGATAGTTTGATACCTTTTATTGTTGACTTCTATACTTTTCGGAAGTATGAGAGCAAGGAATGTTGCGGCTAATACTACGGTGGTCTTCACCCTCACTTACAAGTGATGTATTTTTGCCATTTATAGACTGGACGGTGTGGAGCGTTGGTTTCTAGATCGTAATGGGTCCTAATGCAACGCGTCACTCGCTAATAATGCCCACTTGGTCGCATTGGAAAGCAACGCTTCACACGTGTGGATTGCATCCCTGCGATGGAGAACGTGTGGCTGCATACTCCAATCGGAGACGGCAGCGGCTGCGCTTCTAGTGAGATATTGTCCTCTGGGACAATGTAATTTTGCCTTCGTCCAGTATGAAACAAGATGACAGTTGTCCCACCCGGAGAGATCCCACAAAAAACGCATCCTACGCCTGATTTGCAAGAAGTTTCATGTCCCCCCCGTCTCCGGGATTCAGAGCGTAAGCACCTTAGCGATTCTCCTGAACACTGGTTTAAAAAGAGAGTTAAACCCTTCCAATGTTGCTCGAACAAGAAGGTGCAAGTTTACCATTCCCGCCATTCTCACGATCGAACACATGGAACATAGGAATTAAACAGAGCATTCATTACTTCCAAAAATATGGTATATTCTAGTCACTACGGACGAAGGGGCGTGTCAGGCGTGATGAGTATGGCGCGGTGCATGCCAAACCCGTTCTCCACCAGTTGTTGAAGCGAGCAAGTGAAAAGACACTCATGACGTTCGTATCACTCGTTTTTTACTAATTGTTGTGGTATACTCGCTTCAACAACTGGCTGAGAACGGGTTTGGCGCTGCGGTACACTCATACTGCTTGATTCACTCCTTAGAGCGTAAAATGAAAGCGGTTGGCGCACTGATCAATCACTTTTGGATTACGTCATTCGCTCCCGGAGGGATGGAGGGGATGACTGCTCTAGGTGAGGAGTGGTCCCTGGAGCGCAACTACTCAACTACTCAATAGCGGAACATTCAGTCCCATTCACCTCTCCCAGTGACCAGACAGTCCTAAACATTTTCGGATGTCGGGCGGCACAGCCGGCTGCAATGATGAACGCGACAGCGGTGACGGCGAATCAGCTGATTTCCATGGAATTCGGCTGCGATTTCCCACTTTTTCAACTCTTCGAGCTTTGAAAGTGGAAGGTGAGTTTTTTGGGTAACTTTATTGTAATGACTCTGAATGAATCTGTAATGATTCATTGAAAAACTCATTCAATAAATGCCTGAAAATAAGGCAAATACAAGGGAAAAGAGCATATAATCGACATAAAAATAAAGGAAACCAGAGCCAGTACAATTCAAAACTGTTCAGAATAACTCATCTCTAGCTTGAAGAGCTGAAAAAGTAGGAAATTTGCAGCCGAATTCCATCGAAATCAGCTGATTCACCGTCATCGAGCCGCAGCCGCTGTCGCGCTGCTGTGCCGGCCCGACAGTCCGTAATGGTGAGAATGAACCTCGTCATCCGGGCAGTTGATTAGGGCGGTCGCCAACGGGCCGCAGCGCGTGCCAGGAACTATTTGCTTTTGCAGGCTGATTTAGTCACTTCCACAATTGTGAAGATAAGGAGCTGCTAATCTGGGAAAAAGTAGCCAAAACAGTGAAAAGTTGGAAAAAATGACTAAATTAGCCTGGAAAAAGCAAATAGTTCCTGGCACGCGCTGCGGCCCGTTGACGACCGCCCTAATCAACTGCCCGGATGACGAGGGTATTTTTGCGTACATACGCTATCACACAATCTGCACCAAAAATGGTGGATTCAGCGATAAAAAGAATTCACCCTGAGTTCAATCTTAAACGTTGCGTCTAAAGGAGTGTTTACTAGCTCTTTTAGAGCATAAAACCCATGGTAACTCTTACAAAAAAATCTGCTCTTTAAATTTTCTATTTAGAACACTATGGAAGATCAGCTGTCACTGGCTTCCATTCATTACATGCGCATGCACTATATGGAAGCAATTGAGATCTATAAAACTATTTTACAGGAGCATACGTGAGTTTGCCATCCTATGTTCTTCGTTCTGCATTCTTCCTACTGTAGCGCAGCACCCTTATGAGCTGTAAGGTAGAGATTCGTTGTTAGAGGATGGTTGTCACAAATATGGAAAACATCGTGATGATAGTTGAAATTGCAGCTACAACCGAGACTTGGAGCAAGCTAAAAGGCAACTTATTAACAACTGGACCAGGATTAATTTAGTCTGCGCATTAGATTTTGTATTACAGCTAAAATGTATTAGGTGAATGTACGAAATTTGAAGCTACTCATATACCCGTGCAGCACCGCGGCCCCTTCGCAGTCCCTTCGCTTCATATTTTACTTAGCAAATAAAGGAAATACGCGCATCAGGTACGGTCATCCATTTGCGGGCGGGCGCGCGCGATGGGCGCGTATATACAGGGGGGGGCAAAAAAGTCACTTTGCTTCATTGACTTTCGAGGCGCTATAAGTTACACTTTATAAAATTCTGATCGGACATTTCTACCACCATATTAAAGAGCATATTAAATACTATTATGACACTCCGCCACAGCCTTCTGGAGGAGCGCCATCGAGAGATTCTGCCACCGCGATGTGGTGCCTGAGATCAGCGAGATAGTCGATTTCTCCGCCACCGTAGACCACCCTATTGAACTCCGCCCGAACCGGTAATTGAGGGGATTCAGGTCAGGTGACCTACTTGGATATTCCATCTTCTTTAGGTACTCAGCCCCTTCCATTCCAGGTAGGCGAGAGTTTCTCCAACGCCCTTCGATTCCACGTGGTGGCACCCAATGCTGTAGCAGTACAAAGTTTCCAAGAAGGTACGGGCGACGACATGTGGGGAAGATATTCTTCACGAGTTGCTCGATGTAACCGCCAGCGCTCACCTTCAGTCCGGGGTCCACGAAGAAAATATTGGTCTTTCCATTCCAGGTGCGTCCGGTCCATACCATCAACCCGCGCCTTGGCGACTGCCGTGAAGATGATGTCCTAGACCGTAGCGACGTTGTCGGAGCTGCTCGATGTTGGAGGTCTTCCAGATTGAGAGTACTGGTCTCTCCATGGGTGACTCCACACTAGAAGTTTCGCAGCTGTTTGGAGGTGACATGAATTCCAAAGGTCTTCTCCAGTCAGGCTGCGACTGGAGATGACTTCATATTTTGGTGTACATGAAGGTGATGGGCGAGAGCCAGCTCCTGCTTATCGAGGAACATCTTGGGTATCTTCCGCCCTGGTACTCGTATCCACGTCTTCTCTCTGGGCTGCGAAAACTTTGCTGATATGTGACTCGGTCGAAGTGACTTTTTTTGGCCCCCCCTGTATGTATCAGTATCAGTATGTTACAGCTTGATAGGGCCTTACCTTCCTTGAAAAAGGCCCTACGCTGCGTCTGCTCAGGGGCGTGGAATTTACGGAGTAAATGTCGCGAGAGGCCGTTATGACGTTTAATGCCAGTCCAATCAAATATCAAGCGCTCTACAGCATCCTCACGTTGTATATTTAGTATGCGTTGACCTGTAGCCCAACAAATACATTTTATGTTAAGAAATTACGATTCTTGTTATTTGTTCCAAAATTTTTCACTATGCATGCACTCAGAATCCGCGAGATGTGGTAGGCGTGGCTGCGTACTTGAACTGAACGTTACGGCGGCTAGGCTTTCGCGAGATATTTTCATTTTGGGACAGTTGTAATCATGTCTCTGTCAACACAGGACAAGATGATGTTATCTCAAACTAAAATATCCTATGGATTACCCATCCCATGCCATATTCATATGCCACACCTACTTCATCTTAGAGATAAGCACTGTACGTATGTGCATACATAGTCTTTGGCAATGTGTATAAACTCAAGCAGAAGTTTATTACAGGAATCTGATCGCCCTCAATGTCTACATGGCGATGTGCTACTATAAAATGGATTACTTCGACGTGGCTCAGGTAGTAGTTTCGGGATTTACCCGCAGTTCCCAATGTTCCCCTATTCCATCACAACCTGATGAATTCGACATTAAAGAGAAACCCAGTGATTGTATACTGTGGATAGTGGCGCTCATTTATAAACCTCTAGTCGCTCAACAACTATCCAGGGAACAAAAAAGAAGAAAAAACGTGAAGAATACTTTAAGTAAAAACCCGGTAGCCTTACTGGACGAGTTCCGAGCCTGCTCGTTTCATGCCAGCAAAGCGGTATCCTGCCACCTCTCAGCGTCATTCAATGTTAATACTATGTAACAACTAAAAAAGCGGAAAAGGTGCTGTGAAGCTGAACTTGTGACAGCAAATAGCCTTTGAGTGTTGGTGGGCGGGGCAGCTAGGGAGGCGTCAGAGATGTCACTTATGAGGGCTACAGCGCCTAGGTCATTCACCGGGGGCCGCAATAGTGGGATAGTCTTAGAGACCGCGGGCTAGAATACTTGAACAGGAAGGACGCCCACGCATTGCTCGAGCGCGGAAATTATCTTCAAATGTTTCTAGAAGAGAAGACTCAGTAGCTTCTCATAGAAGGTATAAAAGGGTAGTATCTGTAAAAGGAAGAGAATAATTGTACGCGCTGTGGCGACAAACGGATCCTTATCAATTGTCCCTTATTGAAAGCTGGCTGATGTTCAGTGAACCCCCTTGTAACGGGGCAACATTGCAATGGTGCAGTGTGTAAATTAGACCAGTCAGAAATGATTGCTCTCTTGGCTTCCAACAGATTATTTCAGGAGGTGCTCAGCGTGTATCTTCGCACGTACTCGGACAGTCCAGTTGCCCTTAATCTCAAAGCCTGCATCACCTTCAAAACCTACAACGGGAAAGCAGCACTGGTGCGTGAATGCTTCAATATCCACGCGCGAGCAAAATTTTATAGTTTTTTATTGTTTATACATAACCTGAAGCTGGTCAGTCTCCTAGTCTTTTGTCAGGAGGTCATGATGTTTTTCCAGCCAGAAGTTGAAGTACTACAGCGAGTCAACCTATACCCGGCAGCTCGCGAACTTCTTCGCCACAATCAGGTTCACTATATTCAAAACTGTCTTGATTTTGGTGACGCTTCTTCTGGTAATATTTATGCGAATAAGCATTCAGGTGGTGTTTCGCGATGGTGATGGAGCATTGCAGGTGTTCCCCGGTTTAATGGACACATTACCAGAGGCGAGGGTGAATCTGATACTCTATCACCTAAAAAGGGGTATGTGACAGCACTGTTATCTTCACAAAACGCTTTTATTCTTTGGCGACTGAAGTACAGTTTGTTTATATTGTGGTATTACTGCTACTCTTTTCAGAAGACATAGAAAGTGCCATGACATTATGTAACGACCTGGAACCACAATCAACTACGGAGTTCCTTGTGAAAGCTGTGGTTTTCGCTTACTGGGGACAACAAAAGGAGTCTGTAAGTGTGCCGCTGTCGTATTCGGTGGTGTTGCACTCACTGTGTCCTCGTTCGTTGCAGAAAGATCACTTGAAGACCGCCGAACAGTTCTTCAAAATGGTAGGAGAATCTCCATACGATGCAGGTAACTTGTAGTGTACGATTACTGTATTGCGTCACAATTCTGGAAAGATTTGACATCGAGATATGAATCAGTGCCAGAAACTTCTGATGAGCGGTAGGAGGAAAGCTTGGCACAAGCAACTAAAGGGACATTTCGTGATAAGCTGTCCGTGGAAATTTCACAGTGAGGGGGTTGGAATGCAAATGTGTACAGGGGGGGGGCAAAAAAGTCACTTCGACCGAGTCACATATCAGCAAAGTTTTCGCAGCCCAGACAGAGGACGTGGATACGAGTACCAGGGCGGAAGATACCCAAGATGTTCCTCTATAAGCAGGAGCTCGCCCATCACCTTCATGTACACCAAAATATGAAGTCATCTCCAGTCGCAGCCTGACTGGAGATTTGGAATTCATGTCACCTCCAAACAGCTGCGAAACTTCTAGTGTGGAGTCACCCATGGGTAGCTACCTGGAGACCAGTACTCTCGATCTGGAAGACCTCCAACATCGAGCAGCTCCGACAACGTCGCTACGGTCCAGGATATCATCTTCACCGCAGTCGCCAAGGCGCGTTGGTGGTAAGGACTGGAATTCCTAGCATGGGAAGACTGATATTCTCTCCGTGGACCCCGGGCTAAACGTGATTGCTGACGGTTACATCGACCTACTCGAGCAGAATATCCTGCCTTCATGTCGTCGCCCGTACCTTCTTGGAAACTTTGTACTGCTACAGGATTGGGTGACACCACATGGAATCGAAGGGGTTGGAAAACTCTCGCCTACTTGGAATGGAAGGGCGTTGAGTACCTGAAGAAGATGGAATATCTAAGCAGGTCACCTGACCTAAACCCCTCAATTACCTGGTTCGGGCGGAGTTCAATAGGGTGGTCTACAGTGGCGGAGAAATCAACGATCTTGCTGAACTCAGGCACCGAATCACGGTCGCAAGGCAGAATCTCTCGATGGCACTCGTCCGGAAGGCTGTGGCGGAGTATCATGATAGTATTTAATATGCTCTTTAATATGGTGGTAGAAATGTCGATCAGATATCAATAAAGTGTAACTTATAGCGCCTCGAAAGTCAAGGAAGAAAAGTGTCTTTTTTTTGCCCCCCCCCCCTGTATGTGCGGCTCGACTCACCTGAAAGATAAGAGCAGGCGATACGGTCGAAAACGCCCTGAACACGCTTTTCCTATCTGGATCCAAATGCGAAGGTTTGTTGGAATCACCAATCAAAAAGACCAAGCATAAAAGGCGAAATAGCATAGAAATGAGCAGATCGAATGACTCCAACGGAGTCACTTGTGCTTTGACGGAGTGCGGGTTGAGATACATACCTTCCTCACAACTTGTCTCGCAATGTTCGCACGAGCTTAGTCATTGTGGACCGAGATATCTTTCCCCCCCCCACACAGCTTTCTCCCATTCTCATACATAATCGCAAAAGGTGGCTTGAGTAAGATGGATAGTGTAGCGCCAGACAGCTGTTTTGACGCATTCAGCGGATACCTCCGGCTAGAAATCTAGCTGAGCTTGGTGAAATTTTCCCGTATATTAGTTGCAGGTATTGGGGACCTTCGTCTACTAGTGGCCACTTTCAGGCAGTGTCGCATTGAGTTTTCATTCGCTTGAAGACAAACTGCTCACTCACTTCCGCGGATCCTGGTCCTTGCTTGAGTGCGGTAAAGTAGTGTGCCACTTTCTGCACCGGAACGTGGAGTGCATTCCGCCCGCGCTTCCGCACGCTAAGCCACACGCCTAACCATAACCGAACGCGCCACCAGTCCACCCAGGGCACGCCATTGCGTTGTGATCATTTCCTGAAAAATACGACCCCCCTAATTCCATCTTCAAGTACGACCCCCTCCCCATGTTACCTCTTCCCTAGATTTTTCCAACCTCCTACCACTTTGTCTATTTTTTCCCAAAAAGTTTCTGGTTTTTTTACAAAATTTTGCGGGGGGGGGTCGCAGTACCTACGTACGTCCCAAGCACGTCCAGCACTCTGGCGCTGGTGTAGCATACTGACAATACGTACGAGGAAGGGGCGATGATAGGAGCTACGATCACCGCCCACAAGGGAATTTATAAACAAACAAGAGGACTCACGACGTGACGATTAATAAACAGATGAAAGTACATTCCCGGACTTTTCTGATCGTAGGAGCACATTTGCTTGCAATTGGGAAGCCCTATCTAGAAGTTACACCTTTCAAACACCTGCGTGAAAGCCCCATGCATGGCGCATTGCATATGTGATGCCAATTGGCGCCCAATGGCCTATTACCTGATATGCTTGACGAAAACATGTGTTTCAGAAGCATACCAAAGTCTTCGAGCCAACTGGAGGTTTCCTGGCCTCGGAGGGGTTGATTTTTCGTGTCGTGGGGGGTGATTACAAAATGATCACAACGGGGAATTTTTTCGAATAGTAGGTCTAGGAAGGAAATTAAAACCTTGCTGGAAAGTAGAAATCTTCAAGCTTCCGGCACAGTTCTTTTTTTACGAAAGGCCGTGTATGAAGCTTGCCATGGACGTCCAAAGCGTAGCGACTCGCGGTTCGCAAAAATGATCACAGACGGATCACAACGATGATCACAACGGGGAAAATCTCTGGAATCGGAACGTTTTTGAAATCGCTCAATTCAGGTGACAAGAGCCAACCTAGCTCTACTCATTCCCACTTACCCCTCTCCGATAGCTTCACTTTCAACGAAGTTATGGGTGTTCAAATGAGGGGTACTTTTCACGTGTTTGGCTTGAAATTGGCTCCAACCGTAAAATAGCGCGCACCAATGAGCTTGTATGAGCGCGCTGACCGCGAACAGCCAAAATTCAAAAGTAATCCATAGTTCCGGTTCCCAGCTGAGCGGTGAGTTTTTTCTTATCCATTTTATTGTGAATTACTTTGTTTGTTTTTGTTTGTTTTGTTGAGTTTGATTTTGTTGTGAGGAAATTGCTCAGGATTCAATTTCTACGGTTTCATAGGTAGCTTTTGCAATGGATTCTTTTCTAGATTTTGCGGATTAGTGGATTGGGATTTATCTAGACCAGATGAGGAGGGTTGGTGGGCGAAGTGTCTTGAAGTTTTTTTGTGAGGAAGGAGGAAAAAGTTTCAGCAATATTTTTTTTAGTTTTTGGCCTAGGAATAGTTCGATAGTGCCTAGTTCTATTTATTGTCATCTACATCGTCCCTTTTGAGCTTCTTTTCACTTGTACCGTGTATCACCGCTCTCTCCACTTCAACATGGGCCATGCGTTTACGACCCCCCCCCCCTCCATCGCGGGCAAATACGACCCCCCTGTTGTGATGATCACAAAGATGGCGTGCCCTGCCACTGCACCCTCTCATTTCCGGTTTTCTCTTGTGCTGAAGATAGCGCCGGTGGAGACGCGAGTAGTGCCTAGTATCGTTACTCTCCAATCTCGTTTTTGTGCACTTTTGACCGGAGAAAGTGGCACACTAGTGTACGACCTGGAACTCACACATCATAAGGGCTAGGATGTACGGAGGTGAGTACGCATTTACTTCGAAGGAACATTGCGGGATTACTTGGTTGGTAGGGTTTCTTTCCAGTTACAATAACCAGCGGTGCAGCCGCGCATAGTGAATCAAGTCGCCACTCGAAAGCCCTGAAGCTTGTGACCAACTCAGGCCGCAGCCTCTTCTGGTATGGTTACATCAATGAATATCCAATGAAATCTCCCTTGCGCAAGCGCAAACTCTACCGCAAATGGGTGTATGGTCCACGTCTCTGCGTCTCCTTATGCTCATCCAATGCTCATGCAACCTCGTTCAAGGTGTTTTTGACGATTCTCCCAACTTTATTCTTTACTGATGAGTCGATTAGCACCCTTCTCCCTTACAAGGTGTTTTTGACGATCTGATGAGTCGATTAGCACCTTTGAATCTTTGTGTTCCACGGCTTGCAGCTACGGAATGTGTATTCAGGTCGGAATAAAATAAGAGAATGTGATGTGCCTAGCAGGCTAGCCCATTTTTCTACTGATAGCTGCCTTGCGTTATAGTTGAATTGCTCGAAGCGAACACGCCCTCTTGTTTGAAGTAAGAGTTGAAGTAAGCTTCAGTCGTTTAGACACGATTCCTGGACGGCAAAGTATGGCTTGTTCGCTGTTTCTGAGTGGGCAGTACGAGGACGCGTTGGTCTATTTGAACTCGATCCAGGTGTGCCGCTTGACGTCACCTCTTTGGTGTAGACCAAAACGTCTACAGTTATTTGAGCTTTCATCAACCTCTTCCTTTTAGCCTTACCATCATAACGATGACGTGTTCTCGTTCAACATCGCTCAGACAGAAATGCAATGTGGCTTGTGGAAGGAGGCTGAGGAACATTTTCTGGCGATCACAGGACCTGATCGTGACAAACCTACGTACAAGTACATGCTAACTAAGACCTGTACGTATTTTTATTCAACTGTTGTGTATGCTCAAGACAACACGAGATTCTCTCCTCTTTTGCATTGTAGTAGGGAACGAGAACGTAATTTATGGAAGCAGTAGTCCACAAACAAGGACATAAGCTTGGATCTCCCGCCACACATCAAATGAATTTGTCTTTCTGAATTTTGATTTGAATTTGATACAGGAATGCTAACGGTACCAACTTGAAATAGGAGGGTAGTCGAAAGTCCTACGGCACTTCCAACAAACTGTTTTAGGAAAAATCAATGTACATTTCAACGTTTTGGCGGAATTGTTGTAAAGTGTTCCGGAAGGGTTCAGTAGAGGCGACCACTTA